AGCAATCTCAGCTTCAGTTGACGTGAATCTAGCAAACTCCTTGAAACTTGGGAATTCTTGATTTTCATTTAGGCTTTGCGTGACTTGTCGGTTCCAGCGTAAAGCTGCCCAGTCTGGTAGTTTGTGAACGAGCTTCTGATTTTCTTCACAGTCATTTAATATGTCGAGACCCTTGACATGAGGCATGGCATCTTGACAGGCATTCAGAAAATCTGAGAAGCGCCTCAGTCCTTCAGCGTCCTTTGATGGAATTCTCGGCCAGTTGGTGAGCTTCTCTCTGAATGCTCTCTGAATGGCGAATGGCTGGCCAAAGCGACGATTTAGTTTGTCCCAGGCGTCTCGGTAGGCTTCATTGTCATTTCAGTAGAAGTTGCCATCTAAAACCTGCCGTGCTGGGCCACCAACGTATTTTTTCAGGTAGTATAGTTTTTCAGCTGGTGTGATTGCCCTTTGGTCAATGAGTGAGGTGAATGCTGCCTTCCATTCAATGAATTGTATGGGGTCACCATTGAAGACAAATGGCTCAGGAACAGGAAGCCTATTTAAGGCTATGTTGTCTTGAAGAATCTGAGCGAGAGAGGGAATGTCTGTATAACGGGGCGATGCGACTTGAGAGAGGGGCACTGTAGTTACAGGCACATTCTTTGCTTCCATGTTCCTTTCCTTTTTAACATAGTTAGCATCCTTGTGTTCTGTCTCCTTATTGTAGATCTTCAACTTGACTTGTGCTGCCCGTATCTCTTTCTCTGCCAGCAATCGCTCCAACTCACGCCTTTGTGCCTCGAGAGCTTTGCGTTGTTGTTCCTCTAACTCTCTTATAGATTCCTTTTGCCTTTCTTCCTCAAGCAGCATCTGATAATTTGCTTCTTTTACTGCTAGTTCAGCTGCTGCATCCACGCGTTTAGCCGTCATGGATGTAGTTATTGAGCAGTGGCTGTCAGACTGGCTGTGACTTATCGAAGAAGCTGCGTATCCATAGACAGACTTTGCATAGTCATGGCGGAGCAGTTCATGAAGGCGGTGTCTTTCCTGCTGTTCATTAAACTCGCTTTCATCATCTATAGCTCTGTTGTAGGCAATGTTGGTGATTTCTGTGGTCACCGATTCGCACGTATCAACTCTTCTTCTTATGTCGGTGGAGGGTGTGGTGAGATTTCGAATTTCATAATAAATAGTCATTATGTCTTCTTTATCTTTCTTAAGCTCTTCAATGAGAGGCCAGAGCTGACTCTCTGACATCTAAGTCTTTAGCTGATCTCTTGCCTTGCGTGTGTGGAGCTTCCACTGCTCGTACATGGCATACAGCCTTTTCTCTTTTTTCTTGGCCTCTTCATATTGATGCGCGCGCATCTTCTCTGTGGGATGGCGTGTGCGTTCAGTGCGTCTAGGACCTTCGAGTGCATTATCATCCTTATTAAGCTTGCCTTGGAGGTCAGTTAGATTTTGTTGTTCAGCTTCATTTGTTTCCTTCAGACACGGTCTCTCTGATGAGTCTACCATTATGTGGGCTTCACTTTGTAAATCTTCATGCTGATAACCAACCATCTGCTCCTCCACCTCCTTCTCATTGCCTGGCTCTGACATTATCATCTAATTTTTTTAACTCTAAAGGCAGAAGAAGACCCCTTTAGAAGATATAAATCAAGCCCTTGTTATGAACAACATAAACATAAAACATCAGATTAAATAGCTAGCACATATGCATTTACATATAAACACTCAAATAACTGTAAATGTCAATGTAAATACCACAATAATCAAAATTATCAAAGTTCTTAAATCCAAAGTGTGAGAAATGTAAATGTAACGGCTTTCATAACCACAGTTAACAAAAGACAGATGCAAAGTCCAAAAAATGTATCCAGGCATGAGTGTAAAATGCGACCAGAGTTTATTTTGTTGCTCTCTTTGCTGAGCCGTTGAGTATTAAATGTTCAGTCCAAGAAGCCATTCATCCGTTGTTCGTACTTATTGCTGTACTATAGACAGTATAATAATGGGTTAATACTCACAGTCCTGCATCAATGTCCGTGAGTGTGACTGTACTTGACCATTGCACCGAATTCGTGAGACCGCTGTCCAAAGTAGGTCAGGCGCGAGGTGTGAGGATGCCGCTCGATGAGTCACGCTGACACCTCGTGGCGATGTCGCGGAAGCTGTAGCCGGCGCCGTGAAGACCCTCCGTGGTCCGTAGACAACGAGTCGTCGTCGGTATCGATGCGGGTTAAGCTCTTACTGTAGCAAACCCCCAGCCAGACAATGGTGAAGCGTACTGATGTTTCCAGAAGCCTTTATTTATGTTCAGCCGTCACGTCAGCCTTGGTAACACAAATCTACTTTCTTTTCATTTCAAACTTTCTTCTTGAAACAACGTAAGAGCTACGGGACAGATAAATAACATAAAATTAGCTCTTACAAACATAAACATTACCCGAAGGCCGAATTAACCGTGCAAACAGTCATTTATAAAGACCCTTTAGTGACGTTGCCCGTGTATTATTAACAATGCTAAAAAACGTACTTTAGCTTGACTTCACATGACACTAGAGATAATAATACATTCAAATACTTCTTCACAGTTGAATGAATTAACCTAAATATTACTGCACATAAACATTAAACAAGTTAAATACAATACCTTGTTCCCGTTCCAGCTAGGTGCTTAAATTATCCTTAAAGCAGCACTCAGTAAGAATTCCGTTTTTGTCAAACAGCGACCCCTAGAGTCGCTGTGGAGTACTTGTACTGTCGTGAATAGCACTCACGCAGAGATGGCTCGCACTCACGGCCGGATCCCCTCCCCCTGTATACCGGTACCTGTTCAGTAGGATGGACGCTGTAACGAGTGAAAATAAGGTATGGCCCCTTTAAGAGCTGCGTGCGCCCAACACCACATGTATACGGCGCCGGGTTATTTCTGTTTGATGCTCATTTTATCAGATCTGTTTTTTTGCCGTAAAGCAATTCGTTACCTCGCGAGACCTGATATCACACGATACTTCCTAACACTCGCCGGCCCAAAGTTGCAAGGGTGGTTTTGCGGCTCACAGGCACCAGGGGGGTGCGAGACGACCACCATTCAACACGAAATCAGTAATATAAACATTACAATGACTCCAAAGCTGTTCGGTTAAGGTAAAAAAGTTACTTAGTTCACCTTTAAAGAGCTTTATACAATTTCAGCCCGAAATGTGATCTTTTTTTCCTTACTTCCGTGGGTGCGTCTCACTAACTAGTCTGACCCTTTTAGATGCGAAATTAACGTTCCACTAGGATGTGCCAAAATAAAAGACTCTTTAACAGTTAACAAATATTAACAGAGAAAATTTATAAAATAAAGCTCTGAAATTATTATCTTTCCTTAGAGTTAGTTACAAATGTTACCGAATGAAATGTCAACCCAGGAAGAGCTAAAGGACTGTGAAGCTTTGAGGGTGTTGATGGACTCGATCCTACTGCATCTATTTTGATCATCGTTCTGAATCCCATCCAGACGAAGTCTTTAAACAAAAAGCTGAGAAAATTGCATTTTAGTCAAAGACTTGACTTTTTAAAAATAGATAAATAAATAAATAAACTTACCCACATTCAAGTGTTGATAAAAAGGATGCATGAAGATAGAATAAAATGTTTTTAAAATTAGTTAGTTAAAATTATACCTAAATAGGAACAGTAGTATACTTAAAGTGCAAAAATAATAAATTAAATTGTAAACTATAAGTGTGATGTTATGTTCACTTAAAGAAAACGTTCAAGTATACAGTGTTAGCCAGTTGCTAGACTTTGCCAGTGAATCAGTGATAGATATTTGGGGAACAAAGCTACAAATTTTCCCAGTTTCACAGACAAGGCTAAAGCTAGTCCCAGACTAAAATGCATGTTTGAGCTGTTTAAACTGAAAGCAACTTGCACTGACATATCTTTATGTTTATAAAAGCTACTCTAAATGTCACCTTGTCCCAAGATGTGTTTGATCAATTTTGACAAATTCCAATGTTTCTCTATGGCGCTGAAACCTAAAGATGTCCGAGTTCTGGTCCCCGTACAACTGAAACTCAACTGCCATTGGCTCATCTGCATTCGAGGGGAGGGGCTTACCAATAGGTCAATTGAACTAAGGCCTAACGGTGCGTGTCCACTGGCACGGTGCGAGCGGAGCGGAGCGAGCGTTTTCAATTCATTCCTATGGAAGTCGAGCTTCACGCTCGCGCATTGCATTTTGGGATTGACAGCGGACCGGAGAAAGCGTTGAGAGCGACGAGAGCGTCAAAAGGTTGGGCAGTTCTCAACTTTATGCAAATATCAAGCGAAAAACGCAGTCGGCAGCCAATTGCTGTGAGGTTCGGGATGTGACGTCTGTTTTGAGAGTTTAAAAATGTGCAAATTGTGCCGGAGTTTATGCTGGATTTAGTGCGTAAATAATTTTGTTTACAAATTAGATGCTTTGCAGTTGTTATATATATGTTAAAGATTTTATTTTGGATGTGTTCATTGTGATTATATTGGCTGGATTTGTAAAAGTTTATAAAATTGAAAGGATCTTTGCTTGGTGCATTTGGAAACAAAGCTTGTCTATTTCTAAATGTAATCGCGTGCATCGCGGATGATTGTCCGTTTGTTGAAAAAAACTTAGATTAAACGCACGCGCAACAGACACACCCCAAAGCGGGGAAGTTACAGCGTTGCCAGCAGCACAGAGCGGAGTTTTGCCGCTGTAGTGGACACGCAGCGTAATACTGAATTAATCTAAGCCATGTCTGTGAAACCAAGCCTAAAACGGTTCTTGTTTAAAAGTTTTGACCCCCTCAATGAAAGTCTATAGGACTTTTGTCAAGCCAACATAATACTGAGAAAAGGTCTAAAACCATTTTGATTTGATTTGAGTTGGTATCTTAAGCAATGTAATTCATACATTCATACACGTGGCTGAAGTGCACGGTGATACTGTTACTGATACTTCCACTATTTATTCTTTCTGTTTATAGGGCTAGAATTTTACAATGGGTAACAATACATCTTCAATCAGGAATTCAATTCCTCCCAACGACATAACAGCAACAACATTATTCGAACAGGAGCCAGAAGTTCATAAAAAGCAGGTGACGTACAGAATTCCAGCTCTCATCTATATCAGTGCCAAACAAACCTACCTTGCCTTCGCTGAAAAGCGGAAAACTTCTGACGACACTGATGCAGAAGTGCTTGTGATGAGAAGAGGATGGTGGAATGACAAGAACATTGAGGTACCAGGCATGTTTAACCAAAATCGTAAAATATTTTTCATAACTGACAATTTACTTAACAACTGAACTATTTCATAGATTCTTTACACAGTTTATTAAAGGCATAAACAGTCATGATGTCGTGTTTTTTATTTCAGTGGGACAGTGATCATCTGGTGCTCAATTCAGCTCTTCTACCAAACCACCGCAGCATGAATCCATGTCCGGTCTATGAGAAAGATTCGGATACACTCTTCCTGTTTTTTATTTGTGTTCCCTTTGGTGTCTCTGAAAATGATCAAATGATAAAAAAAAAGAACCAGGCACAACTTTGTTACATAACCAGTAAGGACACTGGCAGAAGCTGGAGTGATATTGCGAACTTGAACGATGTGATCAGTGAAAAGGAGAAACACTGGGCCACCTTTGCTGTTGGACCAGGACATGGTTTTCAAATGGAGAGCGGGAGACTGATTATCCCAGCATATGTGTATTACTTTGATTCCAAAAGTGCTTCATCCTCCCCCATATCACATGCATTTGCATTCTACAGTGATGATAAAGGAAGCACTTGGCATGTAGGAGATCAAATGGAAGATCTGGAGTCTGGTGAGTGTCAGATGGCTGAGATCATGGACAAAGGTACCAGTACACTGTACTGCAATGCTCGAAGTAAATCCGGCTACAGAGTCGAGGCTCTAAGCGTGAATGGTGGAAAAACATTAAAAGAGCTTAAATCTGCACAGCTGATAGAGACTGGGAAGTATGGTTGCCAAGGCAGTGTGCTGAAAATTATTTCCTCTGATCAGAGTACTGGAGATCAGAGTACATGGCTGCTCTATTCTCATCCATCTGATAAAAAAGAAAGAAAGGATCTCACAATCTATGTGAATAAATCACTGTCGGATCCAATGCAATGGACGACCATGAAGTGCATCAATGAAGGTCCAAGTGGATACTCAGATCTGGCAGAGTGTGAGGATCAAAAGTACATTGCCTGTCTCTTTGAATGTGGACAGAAAAGTGAAATTGAAAAGATAGACTTCAAGCTTTCCGATATCAACAACACTACGGTTTATCCAAGTCACAAAAATTGTTGTCTTTTGTAAAAAATATTGTGATTTTCTTTTATTTTTTTCTTGCTAGAGTTAATTTGTTTTTATTAATGAAAATGGTGGAATGTTAAAAAAATGAAGTTGGAAATACATCCGTTTCTTAATTCAAATAGCAAACTATCATAACCAACCAAATATGCTTTTGTTATTTTAAGTGTATGCCAATAATTCTGAAATATTTCTTTTTAAACCCTATATATTCTATTCACCTGAATTATTCAATGTGTAAACAGTAAACATATTTTCATTAGTTTAGCTAAATTGTTTGGTAATTTCATAACATTACATAAAAATAAAATAGCTACTTTCTCTGAATGATGTTGAAAACTCTTTTTGTAAAATACTTATATGGAAAATGGAATCTAATTAAACAGAATAGACTCATACACCGTGTCAAAATCCATTAGGGCCGGTTCACACAGAACGCATTTTTGCATTTAAAAACACGGGCCCTATTTTAATTATCTAAGCACATGGTCTAAAGCGCAGCGCGCAAGTGCAGTTAGGGCATGTCCGAATCCACTTTTGTGCAGCGCCTGGTCTAAAAGGGTTGTCCCTGTTCTCTTAATGAGTAATGGGTGTGTTTTGGGCATAACGTGAAATAAACTAATCAGAGTCTCATCTCCCATTCCCTTTAAAATCCAGTTGCGCTCGCGCCATGGCGGATTCGCTATTTACATGGAGGAATTTGCAAGCGGAAAACTGAACGCTTTACAGCGCAAACAAATCTGCTTGTGCATGAGGTTAAAGGTGCTCTAAGTGATGTCGGGTAACGTCACTTCTTGTTGACGTTTAAAGTATTGTCAAACAAAACGGAGGCTAGCTAGACCCTCCCCAGTGTTGTGTGTAACACGTTACAAAGTAACGCGTTACAGTAACGTAACTACTTTTTCGGGTAAAAAGTAGTGTAACGCTGTAACAGTTTTAACTCTGTTACCTTAGCGGTTATATTTCTCCACTCCATTAGGGGGCGTTAATCATCTTCATAGATGAGTATTTAACCAGGTACTATACCTGAAGAAGTAGGCAAGCATGTGGATAGAGGAAGCAATGGCTTTCTTGGGCTATTCCGTTTGACTTTATAAGGTCCTATGATTGAGGAATGTGTTTCCTTTTTGGTCAATCAATGGACCTTTTTATTCCGGTGCTTTCTTGTATGGGTGAAAGTATTTGCTTCACCTAACTTTTTGCTTGGTGGTTTGGTGCCTGGATTATGACGCTTGGACGTTTAATGTGTGCACTAGAGGGTTTGGATTGCACTTGTGGAAGACAGGAAGACACCTTTTCTATCTACAACCTTGGGATTATCAAATTAACAGTACTGACTTTTGCAAGGACATTTCCTCCATTACCAAGCCTTGTCGACTCCACCATAAGAAAAGTGAATCATTCACTTTTCCAGTGCAGATTCCCTTAACGCTTAACTTTTCTTGTGTGATGATTGGTGTACCTGGTGTTTTACTGTTTTCTACCTTGTTTATTATTGGTTTTTGTTTTGTTTTTGTATGATGTAAACCTTTGAGATTTTGGGTTGGTGAATACATTATAAGCGTAAAGCTTGTGTCTGATTCTTCCGAAATATAGCTGTGTAAACCAAAGTAAACTAGTTTTTTTCATCTATACCTAAGCCAATATTAAGTCCTACCATTCCTACTCTGATATATAACTTAAGCCCAAAAGGGGTAACGGTTATAACGCGCTACTACTGAAAATTTGGTAACGAAACGCAGTTCCTTTTTCAATTCGGCGCAACGTTACTTTCCCCAGGGACAGATTATCTGTCCCTGGGATTTGACAGCGATCTCCGTCATTTCATAGATTTGACCGCGATCGCCATCTCTGTAGTGAACGCCCCAGAGAGAAATGCACATAATGGATTACATAATCAGAGAGTAGCCTATTTCTTTTCGTTTTGAATTGTTTCGTTTAAAGACATTTCAAGCGTAAATTCTATACGTTGAGTTTCGGTTAATTTATAATGAGATGCTCCAGTTCACGTGCAAATGCAAGTGACCACGCCAGCGCTTCCATGATTATATTGTCTCCTATATTTGCTTCTTACTTGCAGGCATTTGGTTGATAAAAAATTGATTAAAATTAAGATACAATTTATAGAAAACGAAATTCGCTTTAAAGAAAGGCTTTCTTCAAAACAAAACTTAATGAAGTGGTCAAAATCATGTCTGATTGACTCAATGTCTCCCGATATATTGCGCATCCATCTTACTCGCGCTGTTCACTTTTCATAATCAGCATAGATGGAAAAAAAAATAACATTATAATATTTTAACAAATATGAAACTAAATGGGCTTATTTAGCTACAACACGTAGGCTATAGTAGGCCTACAGACTCTCTATTTGTATATTGCTGCACATTCATTTAATTCTGAATTTTGCACACATAAGTTGAAAGGCATTTGTTTAAAACATATCTGCAACATTTATCAAGTTCACGGATAATTGTGCATGCATTTATTAATCATTATGATACTAAAATCATAATAAAGTAGGCTATGTACAATGTACAAAAAATCAGATGAGCCCAGAATATGAACGCAACGTGTTTACTTACACGTTAAGCATTTTCCTCCCATAGAAAACCATTATAAGAACGCTTAATTTGGCTTAATGCAGATTAGAATGTCCCCTTATTATGTCTAAATAACAAGATAAGTTTTCTTTTTTTTTCTTCACCATGCGGTTCAGGACTTCCATAGAATACAGCCTGAATATAATTACTTCCAGAAATGATTTTTGGGGGTGCTTTGGTCTTTCTTGGGGGCTTTCTTTCTAGCCCCTCCCTAGCGCCGCCCATGCATATGCCTATCCATTAACCGGCATTTCTTCATAAATATTAACATTTTTGATAAATGCATTATGCATTTATGGCATTATATGGCATTATGCATAGTAGAACTTTATGTTGGCCTACACATTTAGGAACAGATATTGGGTTCTGCCCAAAGTCAAGCAACATAAAAGTAACGTAAAAGTAACGAGTAATGTAAAAAGTTACTTTCTATATGGGGTAACTAAGTAAAGTAACGGATTACTTTTTTAAAGAAGTAACGAGTAACGAGTTACACTACTTTTTAAAAGTAACTTCCCCAACACTGACCCTCCCTCCTCCTCATCCGCGCACTAACCCCCCAAACCCCGCCCCCAAGTCCTTCTTGTCGGTTATTGGCTGGAACAGTTTGTTATGTTTCGTGGTGCGGGTTAGCCCAGTTTGTTTTTGTTGCTGTTTGTGGAGCCTGGGCTGTCTACAGAGATCGTGTTTCTTTACAGTGTGTTCAGGGGACAGGCAGCCAGCGGATAGTGAGGAGATGTTTGCTGTATGTGACAAAAAATGTTTTGGCCTAAAAAACATGTGACATTGCTAAGAGCACCTTTAAAGCGCAAGCACACAATCTATGGGACAAGCCGGATTCCACCATATCTTTATGTACACAACATTAATCTTTTACATTGTAATCCTTTTATTTTTTATATTTGGCATGTTTGTGTGCTGCCCTGTGTGTGTAATAAGCAGAGTCTATATTAGGCGCACATTACTAACACGCTCTTTAAATAACAAAACAAATATTGCACCATTGACTTTAGACCAGGTTTCAGTTGGTCAATGGCGCAGTCTATTTCAGTTCCTTAAAAATAGCGTCGCACCAACAATGCGCCTGAACACACCTCGTTTTCAGACCAGCAGCACATGATGCACAGATGTGCGCAAATGCATTCGCTATTTAAACAACGTGGTGCAGGACGTGAAAATGAAAACTGCGTCGGGCTGAAACTAACAAAACACACTTGCGTCGTGCCTGGCGCTGCATTGCACCGGGTGTATGATACAGAAAAAGGCAAAAAATGATATTCCTCCTGTTTATGTTTTATCATAAAATCAACCATATTTTATCATATAATCAATCATATCTTCTTGTGTTGGTCATCATATAATCAGACACATTTTTATTAATGTTCCCTTTGATGATTTTGCTTCTCAAATACATATATCAATGATGTATCTATAGTTTTACATATCTATAGACTTATGCTAACCTTATGTTCTGAATATGTTCTGAAGACGTGGGCAACTGATTCATGGAACAAGTTGTTTTTCTGTAAGTGTTAAAGTATAGAGTATATGTTTGTGCCATATCTACAATATCCAAAAGAACATCTTCACTCAGATACTAATCTGCATGAGTACAATGTGCCTCTGTGATTTGAGGTATAATACCAGAATTTTCCATCACGTGTTGTCTAGAAATATGAAAAAATATGTTTTTTCTGTCCTTTTGCCCCAAAGGTGTTGAAACCACCACAGTCTGCTATCTAGTTTTGTGGGCCGAGAGGTCACAGTGCTCTTGTGCATAACAAGCAGGAACTTCCCCTTGCTTTCCTGATCAACCAAGTGAATAAGAAGTGTGACATGTTTCCTGGTTAGTCAGTGTCTGTTTCAGACTCAAACCTCATTCTTTCTCGCTCTCTTACACTTTATTCTAGATTTTTTACTTAGAGATAATAGAAGTGATTATTAACTGTTATGTACAATTTTCTTTATTATAATTTGAATTCTGATTATTTGCCCACCCAATCCGGTAAACATGATGGATCCGTATGAGAGCTCAAATCCCCATTGATGGGCTGTAACTTGGAAATCGTCTCTGGTTACTTGCGTAACCTATGTTCTCTGAATAGGGAACGAGATGCTGCGGAAAGCGCAGTGGGATATTCTCTGAATGTGCCGATTGTCTGAAGCCTTATAGAATCACGCCAATTCATTGGCTGATGGCGTCCGCGCGATATGGCTCCGCCCCGACGCTCTTACGTCGCATCATTACATATTCGCGCGCGCCATCTGCTCCTCAGATTTCTCTGCCGAAAAGAAACTGTCAGCAGCGCGAGGAGCTTGGCCGCTAACGCAGCGTCTCGTTCCCTATTCAGAGAACATAGGTTACGCAAGTAACCAGAGACGTTCTCTTTCATAGGTTCACTCAACGCTGCGGAAAGCGCAGTGGGAACGGACTACCAAACTCGCCAAGCTAGAGCGCTTTTATAACTGGTAGATAAAAGAGACAACGACCGAAATGAGTTCAAACAGAAAGAACCTGGGAACCCGGGGTCATGTCAAGATCCAAGCTATAGAACCTTACAAAAGTGTGCGGAGAGGACCAGCCTGCCGCAACACAAATATCCTCCAAAAGTGCTCCTCTGAAAATAGCTTGAGAAGATGCTACACTTCTGGTGGAATGTGCTTTAATGCTAAGAGGTGAAGGCAAGCCACGCACCCCGTAAGCCAACGAGATAGCCTCTGTGACCCAGTGAGAAATCCTCTGCTTTGATGCAGCAAGCCCACGGCGGCTAGCACCGAAGCAAACCAGAAGCTGGTTAGATTTCCTCCAACCGCCTGAGCGGTCTACATATATCTTAAGAGAACGAACTGGGCAGAGCAAGTTAAGCTTCCTATCTTCCTCAGACAAAAATGGAGGAGGGTGGAAAGCATTAAGGTTAACTACCTGTGAGCGGAAAGTTGAGGAAAGAACCTTGGGGACATACCCTGGTCTCGGCCTCAAGGAAACTTTGACCAGGCCAGGGGCAAAGTCCAAGCAAGACTCGCTAACAGAAAGAGCTTGTAAGTCTCCCACCCGCTTTAATGAGGACAAAGCTAACAAAAGAGAAACCTTGAGAGTCAGAATCCTCTCCGGAGCTGACTCCAAGGGCTCAAAGGGGGCTTTCGTCAAACCCTCTAGGACAACAGAAAGATCCCATGAGGGAACTCTAGGGGAGCGAGCCGGTTTCAGGTGCTTCACCCCACGCATGAAGGCAGAAACTAACCTTAATTTGCCCAGGGGAATCTCATCCGATTCCCTATGCGCTGCAATGGCCGCGACATAAACTCTGAGAGTGGTAGCGGCTGCTCCAGCAGCAAACTTCTCCTGCAGGAATTCCAGTACTGAACCAGCAGGGCAGTTAACTGGGCTCCTATCACGTGCTAAGCACCAAGTCTCAAACACCCTCCATTTGGAAGAATATAATCTCCTTGTAGAAGGGGCTCTAGCACTCGCAATGGTCTCCTGAACGTCAGTTGGGAGACCAGAGCTTAATGCCGACGGCCTCTGATCGGCCAAACATACAGCTTCCACATGTCTGGGCGAGGATGCCATATCCTGCCCTGTAGCTGGGACAGCAGATCTTCCCTGACCGGGATCCTCCAGGGGGAAGATTCCAGTAGAGGAATTAGCTCTGAAAACCATGGCTGAGATGGCCAGAACGGAGCTACCAGGAGGAGGCGGACTCCGCTCTCTCTCACTCTGGCCAAGACCGCCTGGATCAGTTTGATGGGCGGGAAGGCATAGAGTTTCTGCGTTGGCCAAGGGTGAGCGAACGCATCTATCCCCAATGGGGCCGGGGGACTCAGGGAGAACCAAAGCGGGCATTGGGACGACTCTTGAGATGCAAAGAGGTCCACCTCCGCCTCTCCAAAAACCTCCCAGATCAGGGCCATCGTCTGGCAGTTAAACATCCATTCCCCCGATCTGAGTTTCTGTCTCGACAGAAAATCTGCTGCGAGGTTCAGAACCCCTCGGACATGAACCGCTCTCAGAGATAGGAATCTGCTCTGAGACCACAGGAGAAGGTGACGCGCATGCCTGTCTAGGGTGCGCGAACGAGAACCTCCCTGCCGGTTCACATGAGACACCACTGCCATGTTGTCTGTTCTGACAATGACATGGTGACCCTCCAGAAGAGGGAGGAAATGATGCAGAGCCAGAAAAATGGCTCTTAACTCCAGGCAGTTTATGAGCCAAGAGAGAGCCTCTCCGTTCCAGACCCCACATGCTGGTCTGCCCTCGAAAACCGCTCCCCAGCCGGTGAGAGAGGCATCTGTCGTAATCATCTGGCAACGAGATACCGCACCCATGCTGACCCCTTTCCGAAGAAAAAGAGGGTCCCGCCAAACTGACAGGGCTCGAAAGCAACTGCGCGATACCTTCAGTAGGCGAAGGGTTGACCCGGAGGGTCGAACCCCTGAGAGTTTCACCCACCACATGAAGGGTCTCATGTGGAGTAGGCCCAGCGGTAGCACGGAGGAGGCCGCAGCCATAAGGCCCAGCATCCTGCGGCAGGTGCCCACAGACACATGATGGCCTAGCAAAAAACGAGCCAAGCATGTCATCAAGCTGGAAATCCGTGCAGGGGCCAAGCGGGCCTGCAGGAGAACGGAATCCATGTTCACCCCCAAGAAAACGGTGCTCTGAGCCGGAGCAAGAACACTCTTCTCCGAGTTCAACCTCAAACCGAGAGACTGGATATGACTCAGAACGATGTCTCTGTGGTGGGCCACTAGCTTCCTGGACTGGGCTAAAATAAGCCAATCGCCCAGGTAATTTAGAACACGGATGCCCTGGAGCCGCAATGGGGCCAGAGCTGCATCCATGCACTTTGTGAATGTCCTCGGGGCCAGAGATAGGCCGAAGGGAAGGACCCTGTACTGGAACGCCCTTTCTCCAACGGCGAACCTGAGGAACTGCCTGTGTCGCTGTACAACCTGGATGTGAAAATAAGCATCCTTTAGGTCTATCGTCACGAACCAATCCCCTGGCCGAATCTGAGATATGATAGCTTTCAGCGTCAACATCTTGAATTTCCCTTTGTAAAGGGCGAAGTTCAGTCGGCGGAGGTCCAGTATGGGACGCAAACCGCCGCCCTTCTTCGGGACCAGGAAGTAACGGCTGTAAAAGCCCCGCTCGGTTTCCCCTGGAGTAATCTCCTCTATTGCTCCTTTGAGAAGGAGGGAAGAGATTTCCTGCTGAAGTACAAAAGCCTGAGTGGCGCTGTCTACTACAGTAGGAAACACCCCGTTGAAACAGGGGGGATTGCGGCAAAACTGAAGAGTGTAGCCGAACCGAATTGTGCGAAGAACCCAAGACGATACCCCTGGTAAGCGCTCCCACTCTGGAAGGAAATGTGATAGAGGAGGAGGTATGTTGTAATGCAGACGACATACCTGAGTGAGGGTAACGTGCTGACGCTTCTGGAGTAAAGAGGTTGACTGTGCAGGAGGGCCATCGGCGTCCTGACACGTGATGGGAGGCATCGATGCTGGGGTCATGGTGACCAGATCCGCCTGCTCCGGAGGAAAACGGAAAGTGCCTCCGAGGGTGCGGCCGGCAGTTATAGAGAGTGTGGGGGGTGAGGGGAGAAAGCAGAAAGCGTCTCCTTCCTCCCGCACCGGACTGAGTAGAGAAGGTGAAATATGACCTGCACTTCGAGACACTCTGAGTGGCGAAGGTGACAGGGCAAGGAAAGGAGAGCTGGGAGGTGGGCAGAAACGCTTGTGCGGTCTGACCCAACCTTGAGGAAGCAGAGGAGCTCTCCTTTTTCTGACCGGAAGGTCAGGAACGGCTCTGGGCCGCCGGAGCAGTCGGTTTGTCGGACCGCTTCAACTGGAGGCGCTTGTGAGGCCGTTGACGGGGAAACGGGCGACCGCGGGCTCCCCAAACCGTGGTAGGTGTGGGATGCCCCGGTTCGCTTCTTCTGGAAGAGAACTCCGGTCTATGAGAGGGACGTTCTCTGGGTCGCACCGGGGGGGGGGGGGGGGGGGAGCAGAAGGTTCCCTAGCCCTCCTGGGCATGAACTGTCTGAACGCAGCCGATTGGGATTTGGAGGAGCGGAATTTCTCAACCACTGTGTTGACCGCCTCACCAAACAACCCCGTTTGAGAAATGGGGGCGTCCAAGAGGAAAACCTTCTCTTTGTCACGGATCTCCGTGAGATTAAGCCACAAGTGGCGCTCCACCGCAACAGAACCAGCCATAGAGCGACCTATAGCGCGTGCGGTATGCTTGGTGGCTCTTAAAGCTAAATCCGTAGCCTTACGAAGCTCCTTGACCGCTTCAGGAGTCACGCCGTCGCCCTCGTCCATTTCCTTCAGGACGTCCGCCTGGTAGGCCTGAAGAATGGCCACAGTGTGCAGGGTCATGTCTGCCTGCCCAGCCGCCATGTAGGATTTCCCAATGAGAGAGGAAGTAGTCCTACATGCTTTAGAAGGGAGGAGGGGGCGCGACTTCCAGGACGGCGCAGACGACGGAGCAAGATGGTCGGCTAAAGTTTCCTCAATCGCCGGAATGGCGGAATAGCCCTGTTCCACAGAGCCTACCAGGTTGGTAAAATCAGCAGCAGCCGCATTAGTGAGGCGCGAAGAGAAAGGCTGCTTCCAGGATCTGGAGATCTCATGATGCAGATCACTGAAAAATGGCAGCTTCCTCCATTGAGGCCTAGAATTAGGGCCACTGAGAAGCCTTTCGTCAAGTTTCGACGACTGAGACTCACGTGGCTCGTCGGGCCAATCAATAGTGAGCTTCTCCATAGTGCGCGAAAGCACGTCAACGAGCTCAGCGTAGGCTGCAGTAGACCGCGCTTCCTGGCCGCTCGGCGGGATAACCTCGTCGGCGAGAGTAGGCCCGAAATCCTCGGAGTCGGAAGCCTCGGTAAAAAGTATATCCTCCAGCCCGAAAGAAACCGCGTCGCGTGCTCCCGGGCTGGGGCGCAAATAATCGTGTGAAAATTCGACTGGCATGCCTCGCGTGTGCCGAGGGGAGGGAGGGAGAGAAAGAGCGGGGCTCGTCTGCTCGAACTCCACATCCTCAAGCGCTACATCCGAACCCCATGTCGCGGATCCTCGAGAGGCCTCGGGAGCGCGACAGGGGGAGACGAATGATTCCCTCTCAAAGACCGCGAGCCGCGATTTGAGGGTTTTGAGCAACAAATTTTCACAGAATTTGCATTTAGACGATCCTATAACTGCCTCACGTGCATGTGAAAAACCCAAACACTTAACGCACTTACTGTGTGGGTCGTCGTTAGCAATGTAACGAGCACATGGCGGAGTACAGCGTCTGTAATCCATGGCAACTTCACCGTAAGGAGAAACAGAGTTCCGCTTGAACAGTCGCAGAAGCGCCGAGAATAATCCTTAGATGTAGCTCAGAAAAATCACGAGCGAAGGGCAACGTGACCGCTTCGTTCTGAAGGTAGAGAAATCTGAGGAGCAGATGGCGCGCGCGAATATGTAATGATGCGACGTAAGAGCGTCGGGGCGGAGCCATATCGCGCGGACGCCATCAGCCAATGAATTGGCGTGATTCTATAAGGCTTCAGACAATCGGCACATTCAGAGAATATCCCACTGCGCTTTCCGCAGCGTTGAGTGAACCTATGAAAGAGAACACCAGATTTTTGTTGGACAATCGCCATGTGACGTGCAAGATGTAACCACCAGGGGGCCCCCCAATCGAGTTTTTTATTTATTTATTTATATTTTTTACATGACTTAATCAAGTGACATAAATGAATGAATACATATGAATTAATTCAAGACAAGAAAATTCTGATTTCATGATCAATATATCTGCCTACAACTGCTGCTGTGTCTGCCAGCGCAGTAGTCATGCGCATAATCTAGACACCTCGCGCGTGCATAGACAATTCCGTTAACACTTTGAATAATCATGTACTAATACCTGAATTAATAGTTACTTCAACATTAACTCATGATTAGTGAATATATGAACTAATCATGAACCAATAAAGAGCAATCCTTAAAGGGGTCATATAATGGTACATGCACTTTTACAAGTTGATTGTACTGAAATGTGTGTTGGCAGTGCCTGTACACAAACATCATAAAATGATAAAAATCCATCCAGTGTTTTTGTTTTAATCTTTGCTTTAATCTTAAATGTTTTCCCCTGCCTTGAATCGAGTTGTTCGAGCCTGTGACGTCACAAGCTCGCACGCCCCTCCCACGATTGTTGATTGACAGCCGCGTTTCAACACAGACCCGTCCTCGCTTGTGAGCCAGCTGTCAATCATAGTCCGCGCGGACCGGCGCGGTCATTGTTGATATGCTGGAGCACTGTCTATGAGCAGAATGGCGTCTAAGCGATTGTGGTGT